GGAGTATCTGGCAAGCTGGACGATGAGAACTGGCGACTTTGTAGTACAACTTCAGTACGCGGAGCAATCTGTGCAGCTAGAAGCTGAGAACTGGCGACTTCGTAGTACAACTTTAGTACGCGGAGTATCTGGCGAGCTGGACCAGGAGAACTGGCGACTTTGTAGTACAACTTTACTACGCGGAGTATCTGTGGAGCTGGATGGTGAGAACTGGCGACTTTCTAGTACAACTTTAGTACGCGGAGCAATCTGTAGAGCCGGAAGCTGAGAACTGGCGACTTTGTAGTACAACTTTAGCACGCGGAGTATCTGGCAAGCTGGACGATGAGAACTGGCGACTTTGTAGTACAACTTCAGCACGCGGAGCAATCTGTGCAGCTAGAAGCTGAGGACTGGCGACTTCGTAGTACAACTAGAGTTGTACTGGCGAACAGTGCCATCTCTCGCGGCTGAGTCATCTCTCGCGACTGAGTCATCTCTCGCTGCTGAGTCATCTCTCGCGGCGTGCACGTTCAGTTCATACTGATAGTATTTGGTTGCAGTTATGCAGGACAGGACATTCAACTGCTGGTCAAGACACCACTCATCATACACCAGTCAGCATACACCACTCATCATACACCACTCGTCATACACCACTCAACATACACCACTCATCATTCATCACTTGTCATACACCCCTCATCATACAAGACTCATCGTACATAGTCTCAGAGTTCAAGACAGATTTTACATTCAAATTCGGATTCCATTCAGTCCGATGTGTGGTATGCAAGGTTTGCCGCCACTGAAGAATGCCACGGTGGGATGTGTGTCGATGTGGACCGCATCCTTGGCAAGTCGTAGTGGCCGGATGTGTGTCATCTCTCGCAGGGGGCACACACACCTTACACACGTGGAATCCCGTGGGTCAAAAGTCCGGAGCGCGTGCGTTTGACTGGAGGACGCGCATGTTGGAGAGAACGTGGGCACTCCTATAGGTCAATTTCTTCTTATAGGAAACTTCCGCCGCCGGCTTGCCCGGGAACTACTTGTATGATGTTATATGTAATAAAAATGTCATATGTGCAAAATCCAACATTGCTTTCCTTACTGAATCGAACGAAGTATGTCAATGTCCTCAACCCATTCGTCGACTCACCGAGGCTTCTTGGAGGTTAGGAAGGGCATGATCTTGCTCCAAGAGCAGGCATCGAGAAGCACCGAGGCGGAGGCGGTCGTCACGGACTCCGCTTTGAAGTTGTAGCCATCACAAACCAAATCTTTCCAGGCTTCCAATTGCTTGTCATCAAAATTGGCAGCTGTCTCGGGATCTGACGGGGTCAAGGTCTTCTTCATCTCGTAGATCTTGTTGACCCAAATGCTCATCACAGGGTCCTCACCCGGCTTGATGTCCTTCAAGAATCCCACCTCCTTCACCAAAGGCGGAATGAGGTCTTGCTGAATTCGCTCGCTGCTCTTCTTGTAGATCTCGATGGTGCTCCTCTTGAAGTCATCATCTGGACCTTCCAGCACCGTGTGCACGTTGAGGGACTCGTTGTACTCCTTGAACCAGGACTCGACCATATCCATGGTGTAAGGATATGGCACCTCTGGCTTCTCGGCACAGCCCTTGCAATTGGCCCTGAACATCTTCTCATAGCGCTCCCAGTCAGCCTTGCAATATTCAAAGAACTTCTTCACTGGGTGCATGGTGTGGATCAAGGAGTACTTGTATGCATTTTCATCACCCCAGCACAACCTCATGGTAGCTGCTTGACTACACCACAGGCAACGGGGCCGGCAGAGAAGGTTGCAAAGCACCTGGCATCCATACCTGTGTGGCATCTGCGCTCAAGATCCGCCTGAAGTCGCCATTCACCATGTGGCCGACCTTATGGGTCATGGCATGCAGCTTGTCCACGCGAGGGTCCCCAATGAGCCCCAAGGCCTTGCAAATGTGGTCAATGTTCTCCAGCTGCTCACCGCTTGTCAGTTGCAAGGTCTTTGCTATGCACCGTGCCAAGGTGTCCACCCGATATTCCAACAAGCCATAGGCCAAGCAAAGGAAGGTCACATCGCCGATGCCGAAACGGCTGCTCTGCTTGATGCCAACATCGTGAGGGTCATTGCCGATCTGAACTGCATAGAACTTGTATGGATCCTCCAGGCCAGCTAAGTTGTACATGGCCTCAAACTGCTTCAGCAGCATCCAGGCTGGTGTAGGCTCTGGACCTTGATGGCAAAACCAGCAAGAAAGTCGAGGGCACAAGAGACTCTTCCTGCGTGTGACAATGTAGACCTTGGACGCAGAGTTCTCCACACAAAATCGAAAATTATCCACAGCGAAGGCCCCATTCCCCAAGATGGCACATCGTGCATCCTTCATGCGGCCATCGTCCCAACAGAAGGCACCACCTTGTCCGTTGCCCATGCCGTACCCGATCTGCCCACCGGCCGCGATGAACTCATCCTCACCTGGGTAGTCGATGATGCGGTTGATCTCATAGGCACCTGGGAAGTGATAGATCACAGAACTTCACCTTGGAAATGATCCCACCCTTCTCATCGCTGTAGGCATTGTAGCCACCCTTGGGCAAGGCCACGGCACCATCCAGTTCCACCTTGCGCAAACCCAGCTCGTAGTAGCGATCATCAGCCTCCGGATCTCCAACGATTTTTAAGCTCGCCACTTCGGTTGCGAAGGTACAGTACTTTCTGAAGTTGTACTCCTCCAACGCATATCTCATGGAGTCCACGATCTGTTGCCTCACAGGGTGGTAGTCGACACCCGTGCCGGCGCCGGAGCCCTCAGGAGGGGCACCGACACCTTTGTAGGAAGCAGAGTACTGGGCTCGACCGCCATTGGAAGGGTTGGAGCCATAGCCTCCATCACCCGAGAAGGTGAACTGGTGGCCCCACCAAAGGTTAAAGGCACCGAAGTCGGTCTGGCACCTCCAGGTGTTGGGACTTCAAAATCAAGAGAAAAACAGAAGTCTCACCATTGAGCCGGGACACGGAACAAGTTCTGGACCAAAGGGACACAAAGAAACACACGATGATTAAACAGGATTAAAAAACTGAGCCGGTGTTTAAAGCTTTCCTCACCCGGAATACTTTGCTGCCGAGTAGAGCCAGGCATCTCCACCAGCATCCCCATGTCGGTCAAAGAGCATGATGTTCTCGTTCTTGTGCAGCATATACTCCATGGCCATCTTCACTCCTTACCAGCCACCACCAATGATGCACACCGGATGTGGCCAAGGATATCGAGCATGCTGGAAATCCTCTACTCCCTCCACCACCATCACCGCTGGCACCGTACAGTCCGCTCCCAATGCACGGCCTTCTGTCGAGGAGGCTGTGAGCTTGGCTCCCGTGCGATAGCTGATCCACTCATAGTTCAAGCAGCTGAAGGCTTTCACCACCTTGTTGGGGTCCGACGCCAACTCCATTTGCCCCTGCTCCGAGAGCAATGGCACGTTGGGTGGCGCGCGATCTGCGACAACCACTGCACTGGGACCCAGGCCATACTTCACAAGGATCGTCTTGGACAAGGAGACCAGTAGCTGACAACCAGCAGACCTTCCGATGAGTACGAAAGGTGCACCTTCGTACTTGGCACCTTCACCCAGCTCCTCGATGGCTGGTTGGATGCATTCGAACGCATCTCTTGCCGAGGCCTCGAAGCTCTTCGCTGCCTCCTCACTGGCGCGCCAGCCATGCCGTGGGTACTCGCAGATGCCAATCTCAGCCCACTTTGGGAGGCCTTGGCAAATGGACTTCATGTCTTCTGCCGCGTCACCTGGGCCATAGAAAACGAAGACCCTCATCTTGATGCCGCCTTGAGGATTGTTGACACAGTCGAGCAGCGGCAGGCCCTTGTTTCGGGGCATAGGTGCCATTGAGCCAACAAATGCCGTCAAGTGTTTCTTCTGCATCGTGATGCCACTGAGGTTTGCCAAGGTATCCGTGTCCCCCTCCACGATCCTCTGCTCAATCGCCTCATCAAGGTCGTCGAAATCCATCTTGGTGGGAGCAATGAGCCGGAAAGTGGGTTCGGCGAAGTGGTTGGAGACCTGACAATTGGTTTGAGCCTGAATTACTGGATTGCGCCAGACTACCGACCGAGCAGTTCCGCTTTAGAAACTTCTGTCGCCTTGCTGAAATTGCCAAGTGAACTGAGAACTGTGGACAGGACCTGCCTGGTGAGACATTGGATGCTTCTAGGCAGTCGTCCATGTTGAATTGGCGCAGACTCATTCAGTTGAAAACTGATCAGAACGTGCAATTAGAATAATCCTTGCGTGTTCAATTAGAATAATCCTTGTGTGAGACCAATGTCTCGGATATTGGGTGATCTTTGACTGGCTTTGAGATAGTATGCAACTTCCTACTGCTTAGCACAAGGAAACGTGCGGAATGAAGTTGCCCTCCACCCCGTCAGGAGTTGAAGAAGAATTTGGAACTTATCAAACTCAATCAGCAATCACATCAATATCCTGTGATTCCTCAGTGCACATCCAGCCCTGTGCCCCTTCTTGAGTACAAAGCTGCAGAGAGAGTGAGAGAGAGAGAGGGAGGGAGGGCCTTGAATGATCTACGGAAATGACTGGAGTTGTTGAAGCTAATTATATGCAACCCCTTCCCTCACCACTTAATCAGTGGAATGAATCAAAACTAACACCAAGTCTCTCATGTGAGCACTCTGAGCTTGAGGATGGATCAGCGCAGCACGTAGAAATAGGACACAAAAGGGAGCTGAACTGAACCTGTGACCAAATCCAAATCAACCTTGCATTACGCCCAGGCCAGTTCAATTGACTCCAGACTCTGTGGTCTAGTCCACTCAAAAACGATAAGATATCCCCGCGAAAAGAGCCGTCTGCTCAACTGAAGGAAAGCATGGACCCTCCCAAAAGCTAGCAGCTCACAAACACTTGAAATCGAATTGTGTCCAAGAAGTCTAAAGGGTTGGAGGGCAAGTTCGTCCTTTCTCCGCCACGTCCCTCCCTTGGTTCCGTGTTCTTTTGGATGCTTGTGGGCAGCCGAGCTCGTTCAGAAGGTGGATCACAGACCTGAGTTCAAGGAGGGCCTGGAGGGCATGGAGGGCCTGGAGAGCCCGGGTGAGTGCAACCCGCAGGATGAAATCGGCGAGTTTCAGTGTGGCCAGCAAGCTCAAACGGCCCTGTGATTGCGGAGGTTTCAACGGAGGAACAAATCAAATGCACTGCTCAAACAAGGAAATCCTGCCCTGCTGGAAATGGAAACCTAACAAATCCAGTGCAACCAACTAACAAGAGGTATGTGCATCGATCAGGTGAAGCCATACTCAGTAGCTAGAGCGAATATTACATTCCCACTCTTCAGCACAGCCTATGATAGAGGTATGATATATTCGTTCGTTGTTACCAGGCTTTGTTGTCAGGTGGTCTTCCAGGTGTTGAATTTTCATATCCTTCCCGTTCCTCGAGCAGGCGTCTGAGTCCATGATCCGCTTTGCAAGCGCAGGGCAATCCATATTCCTCAGATGGGAAGCTGAATCTTCAACACACTGCAGTTCATCACCCAAACCATGAGGGGCAATCTCAAAATTGGGGGGCGCCACGACCACCAAAATTGTTGTTCATCTACAGTACCAGCTTATCTCTGGCAGGTTGTTCAACGTTGAGCCATGAGGCCATGCAGCGATGTGTGATGCGATGCGATGTAATGTGTGGTGTGTGACTGTGTGTGTGTGTGTCATATTGTCATAAGGTCATAAGGGGGACTGCAGTGACGTGTGGTGAAGTGCAATCTACTTACGTCTCTCTACTTCTTTTTGAGCATCTCTGCTAGTGTATACGTTTGACTCAAAACCTCTGTTTTTCTCTACTTGTCTTTGGAATATTCTTCCGCACTTCCCTTGGTTTTCCATGCTGCGTCTCGACATCTTTACTTGATTACGCTAGCTTTAGACATGTCTACTCTGATTTCCCTCTTCCGTGGCCTCTAATATCCTGTAATGTTCCGTAATTTCCTCCAGAAACCTCTACAAAGCAAGACTTTACGACAGTACAGCACTTGTCTCTCACAATCTTTATCTTTCTTTCCTGTCCTCTACAAATGACTCCAAATGACTATGTACTTTGATCCCTGCGAATGCAGTTGAATCAGTTGCATCTCAAAAATGCCCAGCAGGACATAACAGTCCAGCAAGGGCCCTGCATCCAGCCCGACACACCAGCAAGTCATTCGTGTGATTCGTGTGCAATCCCCGCAAGATCCAAGCACTTCCGTTCTCTTCGGACAAATCTTACTGCAAACACATCTTACTCCATCTAGGTACTCTGTCGTTTGCATATCTGGGCAGGGGATTTGGAGCGTCTGCTCCGAGGGACACACGCTGTCCAATGTATGTCCATGAAGATGTTAGACATCAACCTCCGGTGTCATGTTCTTTACGAGTTCAAATTGCAATGGGGATGGAGAGCCTCGCACGTCTGCCTTTGACACCTGTAGTAGGCACCTTTCGGAGCCACAGACATTCGACCCCGAGGCCAGCTTTACAAGGGCCCTCGAATTTTTGCTAGCCTCCTTTTCTTGCTAGACTCTTTCGATCTTTCTTTCAAGGGTTTGGACTGGTGAGCTGGACGCGACGGTCACTTGCAGACAAAAGATGCCGCCCTGCTCTGTCAAGCGGCTCGTCAAAGACACCCAAGCCCTCAAGCCTGAGATCGGAGCGGTCATCAAAATCTTTTTGAGAGCTTGCGGAAAAGGCACGGAATCCTTTTGATCAGACCAACACCTGCTTGCACAAGAGCTTTGGCAGTCGTTTGTCTCGCCCCGGCAGCACCAGCAAAGTCATTATGGCATTGGGCTGCATCCAAAGGTTCGCCAATCAGCGAGGACACGCACACTGGTCGGCTATTATCCTATCCGGTGGGAGCAATAAGTCGGAAAGTGGGTTCGGCGAAGTGCTCGGAGACCTGCTCACAATTGGTTTGAGCCTTGAACTATTGGATTACACATGCAAAGATATGCAGAGATTGCTATGTACATGAAGATTGCTATGTACAGGGCAACTTGGAGCTGTGAACATTTGCGGCCAAGTCCACAAGCTGTTTGGGAGCCAGTCGGGGACACCGAGAAACAAGTCTTCCAGCTCATCGGGGGTCATCGCAGCCGTGCGGCTGGTGCACACCACCTGCGGTTTCTCTCCGTACCGAAAAAGTGAGAAAAGTGAAGGGTCATTGACCTACACTGTTGAACCACCGATGATATAAATACTGTAAATAGAAATATATGTCTGTATGTATGTATATGTATATATATATATATATGGGACTCGGACAGCAAATTAAACTGTATTGATGCCTAGGTTTTTAGAACATGTTAGAACCACATACGTTCCAGTCGCTGGTCTCAAGTTCCCTGTCAATTCCTGTCCGCCATGGTGGTCTGGTGGCAAACAGGTCACCCACGTGGAGGGTCTGGTCTGTGCATCCGAGGAGCCGATTGCTATGGTCTCCAACATGCTTGACCAGTGACTGCGGCCCACCAACACGGAGGTGTTCGGAAGGTTCCAATTCGCCCACTAAATGCGTTGAATTGTGGGGTTCTTCACCCAAACCATCGACAGCCAGAGAACTCCTGCCTCAGTCAAATGATGAAGACCCAAACTCTCGTGGTCGGAGAGGCTAAGCAGCGCCTGGGACAGCCTTGGGCCCAGCCCGGTAGAGGGAGGGTACGAGTGAGTTCACTCAGACCGCGGAACTATCATCAGTGTAGTTAGGTACATCTTGCATTGTGCAAACCACCTATTGTCAGAGCTCACCCACCTACATCAAGTCCCCGACTTTGCAGCAGTAAGATTCTCCTTCTTGGAGCCCTTCAGCTGCCTGAGACGCGTTATTGAACTCAAGTGAATCCCTCAAAGCCGTGGCACAAACTTCAGTGAATCCCGTTCTGAGAGCCTATTCAAATTATTCCCTGAAAGTCTGCTTTCACACTCGTCATTCTCTGGTGTGCCTCCAGCTTGTGGTTTCACTCGTTCAAGGGTTCAGTTTTGTTCTTCTCATTGCACTTTGCTCTTCTCATGGGCGTCCTATCCTCGTTTGGCATTCAGGTGAACCCAGACAGTGCCGTTGCCTCAGCACATCCACAAGCTCTTCGAGTGTCCACGGCCTCCATAGCAAAATGGATTCAAAAAGGCATCAAAAAGACCTTCAGCTTCCAAAGGCCAGATTCTCGTACCGCTTTGCCCACAAGAAACATCGAAATTTAGAGTTTAGGAGTTGGGTTTCGCTTCGGTGGGGGAACTCTGCTGTTGAGACTCATCCATTTCCGCTCCATTTCCGCGGCTGGAGAAGTTGGAATTAACTTCAGCGGCTGCGGCTTCGGAAATCAGAACACCGTCAACTCTCCACTCTTGTCGTTTCACAAAGTGGGCCGAAACGTTCCACCACAGGGCCATTTTGGGCTAGTGTGTAGACCCAGCACCTAAGTGTATGTACAGCAGGGGCCTCTCAAGCTCAACCCGGTCAGGTCGCCTTTTGGCTTGGCCCAAGGCCTCTTGCAGCTCGTCCTTGCAGAGAGAAATTGTGAGAAGGCCTCTGGACGCCCACTTTCCCAACGTTTGAACTTCAAGGTGGACTTGGAGGATGCGAAGTCCATGTTCCAGGCCACTCCAACTAGGAGCTGTTGTCTGTGTTGACAAGTAGCCCTCTAAACAAGCCTTAAAGTGTGCTTTGGTTTCTGTTTATGTATTTCCTCGATGTAATGTGTTTCTTAAACGCCAGCTATGCTACTTCTGAGCTTTATGTGTCAATTGACATTGTTCAAGTTCAATCCCATGTTTATGTGTAGAAGCTCGCCTTTCCTTTGCCCGTGTTCATCTCTCTCTCCAAGTTTGGGGTAGGATGAAGAGAGCATTCCATACATCAAAGCTGTTGAACTGAATCGCTGACATTGCTCCAAGCACCTCTACCAGGCGCACAAGTAGCAAATGCTTCTGCTTCTGCTTCGGAATCATCTTCTTTTCCTCCTTTTTCTTGTTGTTTTGTGTTCTTCTTCTTCCTCTTCTTCTTCTTCTTCTTCTTCTTACTTATTCTTCTTCTTCTTCTTCTTCTTTTTTTTCTTCTTCTCCTCCTCCTCCTTCTTCTTGTGTTGTCTTCTTCTTCTTCTTCTTCTTCTTCTTCTTCTTCTTCTTCTTCTTTCCTTCTTTCCTTCTTTCCTTCCTTCTTTCCTTCCTTCTTTCCTTCTGTCTTTCTTTCTTTGTTTCTTTCTTTCGTTCTTTCTTTCTTTTTTTCGTTCGTTCGTTCGTTCTGTCTTTCTTTCGTTCTTTCTTTCTGTCTGTCTTTCTGTTTGTCTTTCTTTCTGTCTGTCTGTCTCTTTCTTTCGTTCGTTCGTTCGTTCGTTCTTTATTTCTTTCGTTCTTTCTTTCGTTCTTTGGTTCTTTGGTTCTTTCGTTCTTTCTTTTCTGTTCTGTTCTGTTCTGTTCTGTTCTGTTCTGTTTCGTTCTGGGTGCTATGACCTCCTAAGCAAGGATTATCCCTCTAGACTAACAGTATTGAATACTGGAAAAGGATGATATCATCTCCGAAACCCATGCGGACATGTGCTCGTGGAGCACCTTGAGCAACTTGGCATTGAAGGCAGCACATCTGAAGGCCTTGACTATGCCTGCTCCTATGCTAGACCTTCAATGGGAGAGTGCCGTGTTCTCGGTCCCACCCGTGTGGCTGACAACGGCAAGTGAGCTCAAAGAAGACAAGCTGCCCTTTGAGATCCAACATCAATCGAGAACGTGCAGAAGGGTGTATATAAGACCCACTACTTCAGCACCAACCTTCCCCAGACAGACCCAAAGTGGGCAAATACAGACGTCCTCTGGCAGGCACCAGCCAGCGCAAATGAGGAAGTCGATTGCCTGAACTAACGACTTCCTACTCGCCCCACAGAAACTCTCAGCCATTCGCGTGGTCTCTTGGTTCTTGCTGATGGCTGCCTTGCTCAAAACGTTTCATTTTGTTGCACTTCTTATCTCTGCCACCACGAAAGGCCAGAAGTAGGGGCATGTTAGCAAAGGCATGTTGATGAATTCTTGTGATCTACCCAAAGATACAAATACAGACCCTCCTGCTTGGCTCGCCTGTGGGGTGGTCAGCTTCCCATCCTTGTCGATGTCCAGCATTTGGAAGGCGGCCTGCAGATCCTGCGGGAAGGTCACGGAATCGGTGGAATCGGTGGAAGGTCACTCTCTGGTTTGGAGTCTCCCTACCCAGCGATTTTGGTCCAAATGCCAGCATCAAGTGAGGAAGACCACAAGAGATGAATAGCTGGAGAGGGGGAGGTAGGTGTAGGACCACAAGTGCAGACATTCAAACTCACTCAAGCCTGCATGCCAGGGAAAATGCATTGGACAAAATGAACACTCATTGAGGCATACTCCAAACTCTTACTGCCAGACTCCTTCTCTGAGGTCATCTTCATGTCATTGCCATCCTTGGGCTTAGGAGCCCCTAGGCGGTCCGCTTCCTGCCTCCGAAATGGCACACCGAACCGGACCAAACCGGTTGGCTTCAACAACTCCGACCGAGAGGAACGAACGAAGTCTTCTCGGTCTTGGGCCGCGGCCTTGGGCATTTGGGCCCATTCCTTCCCTGTGGTACTCCAGTAAACTCCAGTACGTATAGCAGTACCCATGGTTTTTCAGAGAGAGCAACCGAGTTTGCACATTCTTGAAATGACTCAAAGCTACTCTTTTATAAGTGAATCCGCTGCACATACACCGAAAGTGATGACATCCATGTGCTTCAATCAAGCGCGGCGCTGTGATGACATCCCAATGGGCGCGAGAAACCGCTCCCGGACGTTTCCACCACCCACCTATGTGCATCCACAGCGCAGTGACTGGGGGGCATTACGGCATCGCTTTTCGCACCCGGTCTGGCCTGAAATTGCTTTAAAGCTTGGCTAACTTGATGTGGGAACTTTGGGGGACTTTGGGGGTCTCTGGGTCAACACCATCAGTTCGGGGGTCCTGTTTACTTCAAACATGCCTGTCCATGGTTCTTTGAGCCGTCAAGGCCTGCTTGGACCATATGCACTCAAACTCGTGCCCACACGCATGTTCATAGCGCAACTACTGGCATGTCCTCCAGGTTGGAGTCTCATTCCATCTCACACTCAATCAATGGTTGCACCACTGAAGATCCCAGGATATCAGAGATTGACCTGTAGCTTCGCAACATCGCAGTGTTATAATCATGGTTATCTGCTGGATGCTGGTGGCCATCCTAGACGAGATCAGGCTTCCATGACTAGATCTTCGGGAACTTATATATATATATATATGTTTTCCTAAAAATCTAGGAACCAAATGAATAGCGCGAGCTCTTCTTCAAGGAAGCGCCATAGGTAGTAGCTTCCTTGTAGCTGCTGCTTTTCGGCGCTTCGCAACATCTCGTCATCTCCTTCGCTTCTGCACCTGGGGCGCTTCACGCTCCACCGACAGCTGTCGCTTCGGCACCTGACGGGCTTGCGCGCTGGTCGCCACGGTGTGACGACCGTGGCATTTCTAGACTTCCCATGTTACTAGAAGCTTCTTGTTCCTAGTAGTAAGGCACTTGTTACTAGAAGCGATGCACTTGTTTCTAGTAGCTTCTTGTTCCCACAATGTCTGGATCCAGGAAAAAGTTCGTACACCGAGCTTTGTCTACTCCATTTCTCAGTCTATCGAGCAACACTTTGAGAGATGCCAGAAAAGAAACTCTTGCACTGATGTGCATGCAGTTTCATGTCCACCCTGGCATTTATGTTAGCTCGTGAAATGAGTGAAGGGACGGGCAGGGTGAAGCGTGAAAAACCGGAAATTATAACTACAGCTCACGTTGTGACAACCCAGCTTCAAAAGGTAGGGTTAGCTTTCAGAACGGTACATCTTAGCGCCCTGGCCAGCATCCCTTGTGTTTCATCTTGGGATGTTCACAGCAGACGTTTAGCTCTGCGGATCCGATGTCTTACCAGGGCACGTCCACATAGGTCACCTGGATCGTGACCATGTCGCCTTCTTTGAGATCCATCTGTTGGCTCCTTAGTATCGGAGCCACACCCGACGAGGAGCGACACTTGCAGCAACGGAGCAACTGGTCGCCGGTGGAGCCTTAAAGTGTTGATGGCTGACTTCCAGTCAAAAGAATACGTGAGCTCCTCACAACTGTTTGCTGGCTATCATCCTGCAAGCACGCAATGCTGCCAAGACTCCACTCATCCTTCATGTAGGCGATGACTGGCGCAGCTGTTGAACCAGGTAGAGGAACTTCTACCAAAAAGCTCGTGGGTGATATCTGGCAGACCGAGTGAAGCTCCGAGGGCGCCGAACCAACGATCGCAGCTTCCACGATCACGGCCGAGGTTCCGAGCACACAGGGTCCAACAGTTTCCGGGTGAGTTCGCGAGAAGGTTGGAGCTTCCGGTCACCTGGCAGATGGAGTTGTCCGAACGGTTCCTGGCGCTGCATGGAAGGTTGTGTTTTGTTGAAGTGTTGGAAGCATTTCTGGCTTCACTGGAGAGGAGTGGAACGAATGATACGAAGCAGGCTTCAAAGAAAGTACCAGGAGCACAAATTGACCCGAAGCCAGGCTGTGTTCAAAGAAGGAACCCGGATCGGCCTTCACTCTAGTGATTCATTGGGAATCCTGGTCTCATCCATTCAGATTCCTGCCCAACGGCCTGTCGGAAGACCTTTGCATCCAGTGGCTGATCCTTCAAACACGGCGGGCTTAGCCCGGGCGTTTCACGCATCAAACCCAGAGGCGGCTTCAGCTCGTCAACAAATCTAGAGGTTGCTTTTGGAAGAAAGAAAAAAGACGTGGCAAAGCCTGGCAAAACACAAATTGTGCCACAATCACAATGTGAGCCCTCAGGAATACAAGGTTCGTAACATGACCTGAAGCCAGACCCCAAAGTGTGGTTCAAAACTTCCAAAGAAAAGAACAAAATTACAAAAATCCAGTGGGTTGTGACCGTCCTTGCTGCCCTCCCTGGGCTCTCCTCAAGACCCAAGAAGCCATCGACCGGTGGTAGTCGAGGCAAGGTCTCTGCCTCCCATGTTGTCATTGCACTGCGGCCCTGTCTCCGAGGTTTCAAATAATTGAGCCGGGGAAAGGATGCACAATAGAGGGAAAGGGAAAATTGGAGTTAATTTACTACCATCTGGCCACTAACTTATATATATATATATGTAACTTATGGCGCAGCACCAAACTACTTGACGTGGAATCTTTGTTTGGAGGTCTGTAAATCAGAGACTGGAGGATTGGAGTTGGAGGTGGTCACTGAGACTGAGACAATTTAAGCGTTTGCACTATGCAGTAGAATCTCCCAGTTGTTCCATTCCTACGGTGAACAGCCCAGTGAGGTTACGTATCCCATGTGGCCTACCAAAGGCATCCAAAGGCTGTTTTCAGCAAGAAACACAGATTATGCATCCATCACTGCATCACCCATCGAATGTGTTCAGCATCCTTCCAGTTGTCTGACAAATGAGGACAAGCGGATGATGACTTTCTGGTTTGTCAAGGTGGTTTCTGGTCCAATCACCTCTATGGCCACTCAATGAGCATCCGACCGTCGGCGCGCTCAATGGCCCAAACATACACAAGCGGTGCAGCTCCAGAAATGCAACCCCTGGAGCTTGCCCTAGTGCTTTCAAAACGTGCACACAAAGAAACTAGTGATGGGGAGAAACCAAAGAACCTGACAAAGATAAATGATCAAGTGCCTTGTTCGCAAAGTAACATTGTCTAGTCCCAGTCAGCAAAAGAGGGCCAAACCAATCGACCACGGATATATACTGGGCTTCAAGTGAGTGGAACATAGGGGCCACTACGCTTCAAGAATCGCCAAATCCAAACCCTGTCTCTTTGCCCAAGCTCAAGCTCTGGTTCCAGACCAGCTCAAGCTCCAGTTTCTGTCCTCAGAGAAGGTAAAGGACACTGTAATATGGCCTCCAACCCAATAGCGATGGCCTCCAACCTGATAGCGATGGCCTCCAACCTAATAGTAATGGCCTCCAACCTAATAGCAATGGCCTCCAACCTAATAGCGATGGGCTCCATCCTAAAATTGAAAAGAAAATTTGACTTCCAACATCTTCCAACCTTCACTGCCCGGCTTGGAAAGGTGCTCAGAGGCTGTGGCCCCAATGCATTGGCACCACGAAATGTGACCGGCCCGGTCAACAGCCTTTTCAGCCAGTGATCACTATATACAGTAAGTGTGTCATAGAAAGTGACATGGTTTGGTTCTAGGGTTCATCTCAACCTAGGCACGAAACCTCTGAAACGACCCCATCATCCGGCCAAAATCCAGTCACCAAAAGTATGAGTTGCGATGAGTTACGATCAACATCAGCAGCCAGAAGGACCAGATTCAAGACATCACGAAAAGAGTCAATCTGGACGATGGATTGGGAAGAGAGGAAAGAATTGTCTTGACTTGGCCTGGGCAATTTGATTAGGTTGGAGGCCATTGCTACTAGGATGGAGGCAATTGCTATCACTCACAGAACTGCAATCGTCTTCAGCACAAGCTGCGGACAAAGCCGCGCACTTTGACGACCACCTTGTCTCCTCATCCCAATCAAGACAATCTTACGCCCCGAATCTACTGCAAATGTTTTATCCGTTGAAGTTCCCTTGTTGGGTATACAAGACCTGGTCGTGGATGACAGAGTTGTAGGACTGAAGGTTCAGCAGAATAGTCTAAATCTATCGAGTATCATGTCCGCAAGTAGTAGACCAACCCAAGATCCAGTATCTAGATGTCTCTAGATCACGTCCAGGTGCGCTCAGGCCCATCACACCAGCTCAGAAGAAGTTCCCCCAAAGGGCCCGTTGGTATCAAGGTGATGGGAACACTTTCGATTAATCATACTTAGTCTAACTGAAAAATCTAGCTAACCCCAGTCCGGTCTCGATGTATGAACCACATTCCAGGATTGAGTACACCCTCGTTTCCTCAGTCCCACCGGGCCGGGCTCCTTTCTTGAGGAGCTGTGCGAGGTCTTTCACCAAGCCGTTGTTGATGTTTCGCACCTGAAGTGAGCTAAAGTGCCGAGCCGGAGACCCAGTGACAGAAGGGGTCAACCCTTTTGGTGAAAGAATAGCTCGTGTGTACCCTACAAAAATTAGATGAGTTTTTACACACTGGACTCTGAGATCCATTCCACTTTTTGTTTAAAAGCAGAAGCATGTATGTAAATCTGCAACCTGGACATTGCCATTGAGAAATCCCGGTCTGTGCAGAACATGTCCAGAAGCTTGGCATTGTCCTTCTCCCCCACGCCGAGCCTTCATGAGGCCATCCTGCTCGGCACCCACATTCACAAAGGCTCCAAAGGGCTTCACTCCAGTGACCTGATCGATCAACTCTATGCACCTTCGATGTGGGAGGGTAGGAGGATGTAGGAGGTCATTCCAAGCAAGAACCTACAAGCCTACAAAGCAGGGGCCCAATGAAACACCCGTAGACCCGAGACAGCTTGGGGATCAAGGTTGTCTTCTTGCCTTCACTGAAAAAGATCAACAGCACTGCGTGCGGGGCCATGTGTTGGGAGACAAATGTGTTGGAGGAGATGCTAGCCACATGTATCCACGCTGGGAGTCAAAGATTTTGGATGAGAAAGGCCGAACATCTGTAATCAATGATCAATGCGCGGGGGACACAATGTATGGGATGCGAAGAGCAACAAAATGCTTGGGCACTGAAGTTTGATCTCAAGAATGTTTCTGTTGTATAAGCGTAACGTCCCTGACATGCTTCTCTGACACAAACGAGAAAGTGTCCAAACACTCATTTACTTCCATCCTTGTCCTTTGGTCGCCCGACTTAGCTGGAGCGTCAAGGGAAGTCAACATTACACCCCCAGAGACGAGAGCGAGAGCGAGAGCGAGAGAGAGAGGGAGAGAGAGAAAACAAGATGGAGCCCACGAACCCGAATGCAAACACATTCAAAAACCTACATATGTCCAAATGACACTCGTGTAGGACACTCTTCTGGGACACTCTTTAGTGGGTCACTCTTACACGACACTCTTGTGGGCCACTCTTGTAGGAAGCTCTTGCGGGATACTCTTGATACCACTAATCACTCCTTGTGGGACACTCTTATAGGACGCTCTTGTGGGTCACTCTTATGGGACACTCTTGTCGGACATTCTTGTAGGACACTCTTGTGAAACACTCTTGTAGGACACTCTTGTGGGTCACTCTTACAGGACACTCTTGTGGGACCCTCTTTGGGACACTCTTGTATGACACTCTTGTAGGACAGTCTTCTGGGACATTCTTGTGTGAAACTCTTTTGGGACACTCTTGTAGGACACTCTTGTGGGACACTCTTTTAGGACTCTCTTGTGGGACACTCTTGTGGGACACTCTTGTAGGACACTCTTGCAGGACACTCTTGTGGGCCACTCTTGTATGAAACTCTTGTGGGACACTCTTACGGGACACTCTTGTAGGACACTCTTGTCGGACACTCTTATGGGACACTCTTGTGGGACACTCTTAAGGGACACTCTTGTGAGACACTCTTGTGGGACACAGTTACGGGACACTCTTGTGGGACACTCTTGTAGAAAACTCTTGTGGGATACTCTTGTAGGACACTCTTGTGGGACACTCTTGTAGGCCACTGTTGTGGGACACTCTTGTAGGACGCTCTTGTAGGACACTCTTGTGGGACACTCTTGTGGGACACTCTTGTGGGACACTCTTGTAGGAAACTCTTGTAGGACACTCTTGTAGGACACTCTTGTGGGGCAAACTTATAGGACACTCTTGTGGGGCACTCTTATAGGACACTCTTGTGGGTCACTCTTATAGGACACTCTTCCGGACATTCTTGCGGGAGACGCTTGTGAGACACTCTTGTAGGACACTCTTGCAGGACACTCTTGTGGGACACTCTAGTGGGACACTCTTGTGGGACAGTGGGACACTCTTGTGGGACACTCTTCTGGGACACTCTTGTGGGAAACTCTTGTGGGATACTCTTAAGGGACACTCTTGTGAGACACTCTTGTGGGACACTGTTGCGGGACACTCTTGTAGGACACTCTTGTAGGACACTCTTGTGGAACACTCTTGTAGGACACTCTTCTGGGACACTCTTAAGGACACTCTTGTGGGACACTCTTGTGGGACACTCTTGTAGGACACTCTTGCGGGACACTCTTGTAGGACACTCTTGTGGGACACTCTTGTGGGACACTATTGTGTAGGACCCTCTTGTGAGACACTCTTGTAGGACACTCTTGTGGGACACTCTTGTGGGACACTCTTGTAGGAAACTGTTGTGGGATACTCTTGTAGGAAACTCTTGTGGGACACTCTCGTAGGACACTCTTGTGGGACACTCTTGTGGGACCTCCAACCCCCAGGCTTCCTCCAAAAGTCACACGTCAAGTCTCCAAAAGTCACATGTCAAGTCTCCAAAACGAGCGTTTCGTATGAGACTTCCTCAAAAACTCACATGTCAAAGTCTCCCACGACAATCCCAATGTGACAGCGACATTCACCTCTACCACAACTCACAACCTCACGATTCCCTGCGCCTGCCACGAATCTTTCCGCGTCCACACGTCTAACGCGCACAAAGTACTGCGCCTGCCACGAAATGTCACCTCCGTCACACCTCACAACCTCACGATTCCCTGCGCCTGCCACGAAAATCACACTTCCACACCTCAAAACCCGCACAAAGTACTGCGCCTGCCACGAGAAGTAACAATATCATCTCATGTGAGCTTCAACAAAATTTGCACCGCACCACACGTTTGGAATGATTTCGACCAGTTCTGAGCACAGTCCCATCCACCAAAATCGCCATTTCAGCTGAGACTTGTCACGAAAACAGAGCTTCGATGCCACACCCTGCGCGCAAATCCCAATGGCACGGCCACATCCAACACCCCAAAAACACGACTCTCCAAACGCTAATCCCAATGGAACTGCGCAGCAATCAGCGGATCTCACAAAACGCTGCGCCTGTGCAGCGAAATGCATCACGTTTCTTGCGCGACATGTCATGGTCCTGCAAATCACAATGGAATAGCGGCGCAAACTGACACGTGATACGTCCATGAACAATCACCTGCAAAAGCTTCCCCCAACGGCAGCGAATTTGAGACGCTCCGACGACGACAAACGACGACAAACGACGAGAGACGACGACAGACGACGACAGACGACGACACGACGCAAGCCATGCAAACGCAGCTCCAACCCCCAGACCCCCAACTATAAACGGGAACCCTTCGCTACGCATTCGGGAAAAAAAGAAATAGAGAGAGAGAGAGAGAAAACAAATTAAAAGAGAGAGAGAGAGAGAGAAAGACAGAAAGAAAGAAAGAATGAAAGAAAGAACGAAGGAAGGGGGGAAGAAGCTCGCACTTCCTATCACTTGTCACTCCCGTAGCGTCCTTGCTCCTTAGCGCTTGCACAAAAAGAGCACCCCGCCTCACCCCCAAGCTCCTCCCCTGGTATCAGGTTGGAGAGCCTCAGCACAAATATGTCTGTGGCAGCGGACTGAGGGTGTAGATCGGTACAGTCAGGTGCACACTCGAGGGAAGTCTCTGGGTGTCTATGTTAAAACCGCATGTATGTATGTATGTATGTATGTATGTACGTCTGTCTGTCTGTCTGTCTGTCTGTCTGTATGTATGTATGTATGTATGTATGTATCTCAAATAAATTTTACTGAGATCAGCATGAGACATGAGATCACAAACACAGTAAAAAAGGATTTGCGAGCAAAAACTGACGTGGTCGCATCGAAAATTATGTACTTATCCTTCATGAACATCACCTCCTCACATCAACCAGCTTCAAATGCTAGGACAAGCCAGGATAAGTCTGTCATATCCCATGGGATACAGCATTGACAACCTGGCCCAAAGGAACATACATGAGCACTACTCGTTTCAAACAACGGTTCCGGAGAAACCAGGCCGTGTCGGTGCGCAGCTGTCGGGTGTTTCGTCTTATGTACGCGCTCAAAGCGCATGGCAGCCTACGCTGGAATTCAGGGCTCGTGATCCATACACAGCTGATAGCGGCTGCGTTGGAACATGAGTGTAAAGGTTCATAACTCCATACCCAGTGACCTAGTGCATCCTGACCTAGTGCATCCCATTGCCATTGCCAAGCCACTTCAAACCCTTGGCGATCGTCTTCTGCTCCTCGGTTCTCAGAACAAAGCTTTGACCGGCCTGCGCAGAACATGATGAAGAGGTACCCTGACTTCAAGACCATGGTCACGACGGTCAGGAGCACCAGAACAACCACCCCGCACCTGCCTTTCAAGTCCACAATCACAACAATTCAGAAAGCTGTGACCATGACCACGTCCTTCCACAGTTGCTGCAGAAGAAAACAGAAAAGAGCACGCTGTTTTGGACAAACCCTTCAAAGCGTTGGAGCCTGGTCACTGGGCCTCCCAGCCCGCTGGGTCTCACGCATGGTCACCTTCATACCTTTGTAGTCAATCCTTGTCACCCACACCTCCAGGACAAAGCGCAGCAAGGGATGTGACTTTCCAATGGATGGAAAATGATCAAATATTGATCAAATGCTCTTTTTAACCCATGGCCCCGCCTCCTACTTAATTAAGTAGGCGCCTACTTAATTAATTAGCAGCTCGCTCCTCTTTTCACTCCACGCTGCTTCTGCACTGTCTTCTCTGGTCTTGCAAACCTTGGAGGGCCCTGGGCGGGCGGGGCGTCTTGAGATGTTGTGTTACGGATTCGCTGCTATCATCAGCAGCTCGCTCCTCTTTTCACTCCATGCTGCTTCTGCACTGTCTTCTCTGGTCTGGCAAACCTTTGGTTGCTTCCAGCTCCCGATCTCTTCCCGATTGTAGGGTCCGTTCGTCCTGCAAAGAAGTGGTACCAGGTAGGACTTGGCAAATGACAGTCCTGCAGAACTTTCATCTTGCGGCACACCTCGGGAAAAGCTAAAGCCAGCTGGTGGATTGTCGCTTTCACATGAACTGGTAGCCTTGGAAAGAACGTTGTCGATGATGCTTCTTGTGTGTAAATTTCCATGGTACGGTGGGAGATCCACCTCCCACGACGCCTAACCAGCTCCGAGTCCTCTGTGATCAACATCAAATGTGTCGCACCGCCAGCACGCATACTTCTAAGATCAAGGGGCCGTCGAAGCGGCCCATGAGTCGTCGGAAGGCCTATGGCCTCTTGCAGTTGCTTGAAGCGGGTCCTCAGGGCCTGTGGTGACCATGGCCAAAGGCGCTTGCCATGTATATATATCAACAACAAGGCCTACCAAGTCCTCCCAATCTAGGCGGGCCAGCTGGTGGCGCGCCGCTCGAAAACGGGTCTTGGGTTCACCCATGAACATTTCTGTCTGGTGGTTTGTTCTTGCTTGTGGCCCTGGCCAGATAATCCTCATAGGCCTTGAGCCCCTTGAAGCTGCCAAGAGAAAACGACGGCCACACCAGATTTGATCGAGAGCGCTCATTTGTGACTGCCATTTGGTGGTAGTAGTCGGAGCGATCAGTGATGCAAATCCTCAGGCCGCATCCTGGGGGAACAAAGAGCCGTGCGATCAATGGCCCACATGGCAAATCTTGGGAAGGACCATGGATTCTGCCTTCCCTTGCGTTCTGAAGGCGGCGGTCGCCAATCTGGCGATCCTACTCAGAGGACTTGAAGATCTTCACTTTGTTGTCCGGGCCAGCATCAACCTGACTGGCTGGATGAATGGCCAGCAGGTCAAGCTCGTCCTTCTGAAAAGCTTCAACACCTCCTCTGGCTTGTCCAAGCCCAATTTTGGCTTTCCACGGGTAAAAACAGGTTCATCAAGTTCCAGGAGCTGTGGCTTCAGGTAGCTCATCTGGAAGAGAGGTGGCATGAAACTTGCAGCATCCCATTGACCCTTGCCGGAGATCTTAAGGCGGTCTGCATTGAGGTTCGAGAAGGGCGAAAGCTGTGGGTGTCTGGTGTTGTCTGTTTTCACCTGGGCCCCTTGATGGCCTGTAGCATATGGACCCGAGGAGAGTCCCAATGCATCGACTGCCAGCGCAAGCTCTTGTAGCCTACATAACAGCCTCAAATTCTTTCGACCAGAACAAGCAACTTCGATGACTTGCCCATGGTCATTCGCGCTGAAGAGCAACCTCAAATCCGACAGGGCCTTCTTCTGCTGAGGATTGGACTGCCTCCAAATGAGCTCCAAAGGTGGAAAAGAGCTGGCCATGTAGATGTAGTTGAGGGCGCTCACAACCACGTGGAGAGTCCGATCAAGAGCCGTTTCTCTCTTCCTCCTCCTGGACTCGCCCGGGACCCCTGCTGCAAAGGGAGCGTAGCTCGGCAAAGGCAGAGGAAACAAAGCGGTAGGAGATGACTCTGGACCATCTCTGCAAGCATGGAGCGTTGTAGACAAGTACCTGGAGAATGCTAGCAGCTAGCACCCATCTTGTCAATGACACGCACCAGGAGACAAAGGAAAAAGAAAGCTTGTCAACTTCCAATGCTGTCATATCGAGGTCATCCTTGTCTCCGTCGAATTTGGTTTTGCTGTGCTCGTGGTGACTGGTACGTGTGCTCCTGGGAGCGGAGGGGCCAAAGTCAGGGCCACACTCAGCTGGAGCGGCGGGAGAAGGGCTAGCCGAGCCCTCTCCGGCCTGGTTGCCGTGCGCAGTGTGTGCTAGAGGGGCGACTAGGAGTCTGGCGCCCCGCTTGTTTGGTCGGCGGCCTGCTTTTGTTGCCATGGTTTCTTCTTTGGCTTTGTCTTCGTCTTTGGGTCCGCCCCCGATGAAGCGGGTGAACTGGTCTTGGGGTGATGCGCAACCTCTTGCTTCTCGTTGTTGAGGATCTCCGTCTCCTTGAGAAAAGCTAGAGCCACAGTGGCCCAACTTTGAGGGACCAGAGGGGCAAAAGGCCTCCGAGCTCCAGTGGCAGTTGTATTGCGATTCATCCATAGGTTCGATGGAGGGTGGTCCAGCAGCCTCAACAGCCAGGGTAACTGATCTATCATCACACAAGTCATAGCCAAGTGATCCTTGACTGCCCCCCAATTCTCGCGAGAGGCTGAGTCGTAGACGGGGGCCAGTGACCACATGATGAGGCCAAGATGCCTGTTCTGGCCAAAACCCCCGAACTTCTCGAGGTAGGACAGCATGGAGACCGATGCCAGGTCTGTCTCTGTCTGAGGCACCGGGGCAAACTCCCTTTGAAGTTTCTCCCTTCCCATGGCGCCCTTGACGCGCATAGTCCCGGACGAACTGGCCAGTTCCGGCATAGGGTCTGCACTCCCCACCTGAAAGTGAGCCACCAAAGCTGCAAGTGCCTTGCTTTGCTCCAGAAGGGCTCCATCTATCTGGCCGGGCTCGTCGTCGGGGAGGGAACGGTAGGCCCTGGCCGGGGGGGGCCCTGGCAACGGAGGTGCCTTGGTTCTGGGCCACAACTTCCAATGGGACTGTTGGACTTCGCAACAAAGCATGCTGGCCTTGGGAACTATCTTTGGGGTTGATGGCTGCGCCTGTTCCATGGGCCGTTGGCTCTGCTCTAGGGCTGTCTGTCTGGCTGCAAGTTGGCCAATCTGATCCATAATCGCCGGCAAAGCACTGGCCACTGTCTCCATTTGAGATGCCAATGAGGCGACTGTATGCTTTTTGGGCTTTGGCTTTGGCGCGCTGGAAGTAGTGCCACCGTGGGCTGTGTCCCCAGGCGGGGGTGCTGCTGCTGGCTGCTCGTCCTCGGCTGCCGAGTAGCAGGCCACCCTCTCTGTTCGATCGACTGCCAACCAAACTCGAGCCTGCTCCAACAGACGGTCGAGTGCAGGCCTGACCAAAAAGTCCCACTCGTAGAACGGCACTGTATTTGGATCCAGTCCATCTCCGCCAGGAAGATCACCAAGCAAAAGGGCGACTGCAGGATGGCTTATATCATATCTACCAAAATGACTCCAATTGTTTCTTCGATGTCCTCGACACTGCCGTCGGGAGAGATTGCGACAGCCGGGACTGCAAGAACTGTGAAAGGGCCCACCAACGGTTCTTCGCCCGCCACGGTGGTTGAATTTCTTTGCAACAACTCCTCCTCGACTGCCGCTGCAGGCAGAGCCAAAAGAAGACCACCGGGCCTCCTCATCAACACAAAGCAAAAACTCTGAACTTCCCCTGGGGCAACACCTTCTCGTCCTCCATGAGACCATTTGAAGAGCAGGGGACTGGCACCACCCTCGTCGACCACATGGCCGGCGTTCAGCTCCATTGGTGCGGCTGGGGGTAGTGGAGGCCAGCGGCCTCGCAATAGATCTTGGCTTCTGCTTGTGAAGGGAAGCGTGACACACAACGTCTGGGTGGTCTGAAAGACGGCCCACGAGTCGATGGAGATCAGCGTACTTGCTGAATCTTGTAGGTGCCGATAGTCCGGGTGCTCGCAACACAACCTAGACAGTCGGTGCCAAATCGATGTCGAACGATGCCCTTGGCTTCGGAACTCTGCCCTCCAAGGTGTGGCGTGCCCAGATTCCAGCCTCCCAAGCCCTCTCTGCCCGGTACTGCTTGCCGAACTTGCCTCCGTGAAGAGCCTTGCAAGAATCAACCAACTTCCAAGGACAAGGAACCAGCTGCTTGATGAGAGCGTCGTAGTCGCCGTAAGCGATGCCCTTATAGGGATCAAGTGCTGGAGCCGGTGTTGGTGCCGATGAGGTAGCCGACGGGCCCTCCTCCGGAGCTTCCTCCACCACCTCCCAAGTCTCAGAAGCAGGCTGACAGAGCCTGCCGAGTACCTTGGTCCTGAACGGCCAGGGTCAAGCGATCAAGAGCTTTGACGACGTCCGAAAGGTCAGCCGCTTCTCGCTCATGCAAGCTTGGGCGGTAGCCCTCCAACCTCCTCCTGGCCTGAGTGGCCGCAGACCTCAGAACCCTTCCTGCTGGGGCGACCAGTGGAGAGGAAGGGGAAGGGTGAACAAGGAGCCAAATCCAAAGGACAGATGCGAGGAAAAGTCCAAAGAAGAGGCCAAGAACGAAGGCGAGAGCCAAGGAAGCAAGGGAGAGCTCACGACAGTGAATGGGACACTGAAGTCCCCAAAGACCCGTACGCAGGGCCTCCCGGACGAGCAGACCACCTTGGGTCAACCCTTCAAGCCACATGCGTCTTGATGTCGTGTTACGGATTCGCTGCTATCATCAAGTAAGGAGGTAAGCTACTAAGTTAGCGTCTAGGTAACTGCCAGTCTGAAACCTTGAGAAACCAGTGAGAAACTCCACCCTGCAATGCCCAACGCAGTGAAAGCTTGGCCTTCACCTTGTCGCCTTTCTGCAACCTTTCCCGAGCCTGGCAGACAGTCTGGCCCCCATAAGTAGCTCAGCATGGCAATTCAGTTGCTTCTAACTATAAGATAATAAATCGTAGGAAAGTAAAAGAAAGAGTATCGCAAAATTAATGCAAGAAAGATTATCAAAAGTTAAAAGTACTAAATTTAATGGAAAATATAAAATATTAATATGGTGGTATTATATGGTGGATCTAATTATTGGTCGCAACATATAAAAGAATCGAAGATACCTCAATAGCAAGACCCGCGATGAACCAGAAGATACTAATATGACTAATATGGCATAAGAAAATAAATAGCAATAATGTAATGTCAAGATACGACCACGTGATAGAAAGTTGTCTACAGGAAATTGACCACCTATCCAAGTAAAAGCAAAATGAGAAAAAGTCGAAAGCACAAACAAAAGATAACGAACCTATTGCTGAATTAGCCCAGCTGGAGACCCCAATAGCAAGATACAAACCGGGACAAAAAGAAAAATCTGGAAACAGCTGCTGTTTTCAACACATCGACCATCTCTTCCTTGGACACCATCATCACATAACCGGGACACCATCACAAAATGACCAGGGCACCATCAAAACATGACCGAGACACCGTCACAACATGATTGGGACACCATCACAACATAACCGGGGCACCATCACAAGGTGACCGGGACACCAGCATGACATGACGGGGACACCATCACAACATGACCGGGACACCATCACAACATGACCGGGACACCGTCACATGACCCGGACACCATCAAAACATAACCGGCACACCGCCAAAACATGACCAGGACACCATCACAACAGGACCGGGACACCATGAAAACATGACCGGGACACCGTCACAACACGACCGGGACACCATCAAAACATGACCGGGACACCATCACAACATGACCGGGACACCATCAAAACATGACCGGGACACCATCAAAACAGGACCGGGACACCATCACAACATGACTGGGACACAATCAAAACATGATCGGGACACCATCACAACATGACCGCGCCACCATCACACCATCACAACATGACCGGGACACCATCAAAACATGACCGGGACACCATCACAACATGACTGGGACACCATCAAAACATGACCGGGACACCATCAAAACACGACCGGGACACCATCACAACATGACTGGGACACAATCAAAACATGATCGGGACACCATCACAACATGACCGCGTCACAACATGACCGGGACGCCTTTAAAACATGACCGGGACACCATCACAACATGACCGGGACACCATCAAAACATGACCGGGACACCATCAAAACAGGACTGGGACACCATCACAACATGACTGGGTCACAATCAAAACATGATCGGGACACCATAAAAACATGACCGGGACACCAGCATCACATGACCCGGACGCCATCAAAACATGACCGGGACACCATCCGCCCACCAGCTCTGACGGTGACCCGACGGCGCCCGTCCGCCTATTAGTTTTGCAAGACCCCATAGCATGGCTATTGGGGAAAAATGTTGAAAAATAGAATGAGATGAAAGACTTCTCATAAATCAAACAAAATAACGATAGAAGCTAATAAATGCAAGTCACATAATGCATCCTGCATTGTCATTTGGCACGGCTTTTAACATAGTATATTGGCAAAAGAAATACCTACTGTCAATCCTAATCACTATATAGTCCTTTTCCAGGCTTGTTCATGCAGGATGAATGACATGTCAATGTGGTCACACTTCAGCTCCCATTCAATATGACTGACAAAAGCAAAAAATTGCTTACAAACTTCACTGGCTTCAAGAACAAGGAAAGCTGAAGGATTCCGAAACCATCGCAAGGCGGACATCCATCAGGAAGTTGTCCTTTCGAGCTGTTGGTGATCATGCTATCTTTCCTAGGTGGCTTCACACCCCAGATTCTTGGCATAGCCCCGCACGCACACGAACTTCATCAATGAAGTCTGGCCGAACTCAGAATTGCAGCATTCCAGCTGGCAAAGAAAATCCCTGTGAGTGCCCCAGTTCCTCTACCCCTCCTGGATGCTACTCACGTGAAGAAAGGCCGGCTCTTCAGCGCCGACATTGATATCAGCGCCTGCTGCATGAGGCAAATGGACACTAAATGCAGCATGTTTACAAACATGTACCCCTCAAGATAGGAATAATACTGAGAATACCTACTTTATCTTCTGCGCAGGACATCTTCCTTCAAGTGCCCATATGGTCTACCCTCTCATCCTCACTTTGGCCGGCGGACCGATCTGCAAGGACTGACCAATTACAGTGCTGGCATTCTTTTGAATGGTTTGTTCTCTTCGCGCATACCTCAGCTAATCAATTTCTGTGTGCAAAGGGACTCATTTTTTTGCATCAGCAATCATCCGCAAATGTCTCGTTCGTGGCACCGAGCTGGTATATAGTTCTCCCCACCTGCTTGACAAACAGCAGTGACTGTACCATTCACCTCCTCATTGATTTTGAACTCCTGGAGTTTCTTCGTTCCCACTTCCTGCCATCGCATGGTGTTCAACCCACCGCTGTTACGCTCTCCAACGGTGCGCTCCCTCAACGGATAAATGAAACGAAAGAAAAAGCACTTGTCTGACAGTGATAAAGTGTGTATATATATAGTTTGTTTATATATATATACATATATATATATTATGTATGTATATATATATATTATGTGTATATATATATATATATAGTAACCAACTTGAGTAGCAATCGAATGCGACCTGATTCTATGATTCTCGACAGTTGTGTTTATGCTCATTGGGTAGATGGTCCATACAACCAATCACAATTGCTCCTTCAGGCTTAACCACAGCAAGTCCTCTTCATGCCCTGAGCTGGAAATGATGATCAACGATCGAGTGCTGTGAATATGGGGAAAGTCAGTCCACCGTTTGCAGCAGCTGCCTTATGAGATGGGACTTGTGGTGCAAGAACATTCCCCCGGGGTACCGGCCCACGATTTGGTTGAATTCGTTCGCTTGCACACGGCGAGAAGCGAATGTTATCTATGAAAAAGGAATGCCGAAAGCAGGTGGTTGTTTCTTGAAAATGCAACCCTTCGGCAAACGACGCGGAACTTTTGAGGCTGTTTGTAGTTTTATAATGTTGTGAAACCGAAGACTATCTTATGAAATCGATGACACTGAGACCAAGTGCAAAGACTGATAAACAAGCAAGCAAAAATCAAATGAAAAGGGAAAGAAAATAGAAAGCCCGTCTTGCAGCGTTGAATGCCCCCCCCACAATTTCATGTGAAGATGAATTCAGCCATGTCAATGTCAACTCCCAACAAAGCTTCATGACCCCTGTTACTCAAGACCGCACGGATTTCTGTAGTCTCTCTTCTGTCTCTCGGTCTCCGGGCGGAGCACCCGCGCAGAAACCTGGTCCTTCTCAGTGAAGAGCTCTGCCGGATGGTCCACATAGCTATCACTGAGCTCTGCGATGTGCCTCAGATCTGCCATGCTGCCATGCTGCCATGCCTCGAACCAATTGCGGCCCCTGGAGTAGAAGTGGAATGGCTGGATCCCCTTAGAATTCGAGCCGCACCTCTATATAGGTCATCATCAAACACCTTCATGAAGCACCTGGATGCTCACTCATGGTCCACTCCTCCGCTCTATGTCGCTCTGTTGCCACTAAAACACGCGAAGCCATCCAGTCCATCTTTCGTGCGAATCACGATGCCATTATCCAACACCGCTTTCACCTCGAAGCCAAGTCGACGAGGAAGGAACTTGAATTGGCGGAGAGGAGGCTAAGGTGGTCTGAAAGTCGACTGCTCAAGCTGCAGTACATGACACATGGAAAGGAATTGTTCCACCTAGGTCTCTATACATACTGAGATACTGCTCAAACCTTCGAGCCAACAAATCCAAAACCAAGCTGGCCATCCTGGAGTCCTCACACCACTCTCGGCACCCACACATAGCCCGGAAGAACCTCGTAAGACTCACTCCATCCCAGAGCTCCCAACGTGTGGCAAGGCCAAGCAACGCAAAAAAGATCCCAAAATTGATGTCTCCAATGTCATGTCTCCAAATAAAAAGCACCCGCACAAACACACTGAAAACAAAAAACGGAGATCAAAGCCCATGCGTCGCAGGTTGCAGACCCCATTTTTGAGGCAAGCTCGGGTGGCCCAGCTCAGAAAACACTCGTGTATTGGTGGGATGGTACTGTGAAGTCTTTCAGGGATGGAGGCGTAGCATCGCCTCTTTCAGCTGCTCCTGACCAACTCCGAAAGCTTCGTCCCGCGCGCGCCTGTCCCTTCTCATGAAAGGGCCCCTTCGCTGGCGCCTCGGTATGAGGGAACACCCATGGGTGCGCCGCGTTTACCACAGAAATGGGGCTTCTCCAAAAGTGTTGCTTGCAGGTTTAAGCCTTTACTGTAGGATGCTTGAGGGTCCTTTGCTTATCCGTCAGTCTGCCACCTTGTCGATCCCCTTCAGGGCCGCGAAGGCCGAAAATCTCCTGGGCGGAAGACGGAAGACGGCGGTAACAACCGGACCCACCAAGGAAAACCTACCAAGGCCACCACGTGACCACCCATGAATATAGCGAAGCTCCGAATCTGGAGATTTCGAGATGGGTGAGATGGGACGATTCATTGCGCTTCAAGAGGAATTCATTGGGCCCGAAACATCCATGTAGCAATGCCCTTTGCTCCGAGTAGCGTCCTTGCTCCTAATAGCGATGCCAGGAGCCCCTAGTAGCGTCCTTGCTCCTAGTTGCGCTGGTCCACACGATTCATTACGCTTCAGGAACTCATTGGGCCCCAAGCATCCATGTCGCTAACAAGCTGACGAGAAGCAGGACCTGCCAAGGACGCCATCTGCTTTCCGCATGTTCAAGCGGTAGTGAAAGGCAGTTGTCAAAAAGTTGCAGCCCGCAGCTTGGAATCCATATGTTTACTTCCTTTTCCCCGGGCATTTAGAGGTCTCCAAGTAGATAGTAACAATGTTCAATGTCCAGGATAGCTGTTGGGATTGTCAGAGAAAACAACTGCTTGTGTTGGGTGCCCAAGCCTTCCATTGAAGGAGCAGTCTCCTTCGAGGAAAACGCCTCAAAGACACAACAACAATGCACACAGCTTTGTCTCTCAGATCCATCACCGGCATATTGTCACATAGAGTGAGAGTGCAGATCTCCAGATCTTCAGCTCTTCGGGAGAGGACAGTAGAACACTGTTAACCTTCCAAGACAACGCCCGCTGCTCCGGTCCGCACGGTGGAAGTCGCCTGACGGTGTCATCCACCACCTGTTCATCGGTTCGGATCCGACACCCAGCGACGGTCCAAGGCCTCTGCCGTTCGTCCGTTCGTCTGTTTTGACATGTCCAGGCAACGGTCCAACCGGTCAGAACGAACTGAAGAGGATAACACCGGTCAAAACCTTTGCACTGCTGTTAAGAACTTGGTAAGTACCTTCAAAAAGGAGAAGCGCATTCCACAAAATCTCAAGCATCCTGGGTTTACGAGTAGCTCTGGCTGGGGACTTTGCCAAGCCTGTGACATGGCGAGAAAAACTGCTGAAATGGGAGCTGTGATGCTGCAAATCTCTTGGCTGCGCTTCTAAACCTAGTTGCGTTGTGGCATCTGCCAAGAGCAACTGTCACTGTTCATCCAAAGCCTGCGATTCGCTTTACATCATGGGGCTCCTTGCTTGGTTTGCCTGCCACGGCTTTGCAACAGGTGGGAGGGGTGATCATAGGGCCAGCTCTGGTGTTTTCCGGCCCATATCCCAACAGTTTGAGGCTCAAGCTGCGGGCATCCTGAGGCTGGCTTGCACATGCATGGGTCTCAAGGCTTGCAACATCACGTTCTCAAACAGATTGCAGGCCTCTGTCACATTCTAGAAACGACTTCGTTGAAGGGTGGCTTGTGAGGGTTCTCCTGTGTCATCTGTGTCCTTCAAACCCAAAGCGTAGGTGGAAGGAGGTGATTCAGCAACTCCACTCTGTTCCCTAGTGCCTCGGGCCTCTACTTTTGAATTCGTCAACCAATCAAATCCCACCCGTCAAAAACTGTCTCTTTTTGTTCAATCCAAACATTGACCACCAACAAGTCGAGTCAAAGCCTAGATTGTTGTTCATGACCCGGAGCAGCCTGGAGCTCCCTTTTTCGTCACTCTTTTGGAGAACAATTTTCTCTCCCTGATTCCCCTTGAGGGATCAGCTGAACCTTTCGAACATGAGCTATGCTGACACAGGGATCCACAGATCGGTTGGTTGACCCGGCAAGTCTGAGGACCAACACACAACAAATAGGAACCACCACAAGAGCTAAACAGAGGCGGCTGCTTGAGAACAGTCCAACGTGAATCCCCATCAGTTTGGAGAATGCGACGTGTGAAACCGCTTTATATCAGCTTCACCAAGCACAGTGTGTGAAACGCTACCAGGCTGGGCGTAGTCTTTGGCCAAAGCCTGATGCAAATTGCGCCGAGCTTCAAAAAGAAATGTGTTGATTTGTTCTGAAAGACTCTTCAGTACAGTCAAGAATAGCAGCTATTCTTGGCATATGATTACGTGTATATATATATATATACAAGTGAATCACTTAATTAGTTTCTACTGTAACACACTGTCTGACAATGACATCTTGTGACTTTGTTGTGTCATGGGTCTCAGGCGGCAGCCAGTAGACACTGGTAGACCCTCAGGGAAATCAGGCAGAATTGCCCCAAGAGGTGTGAAGGAAAGACGCTTGCAACATTGTGGTTTGGATTTGCTGAGAGCTCAAACTTTGGAAGCTTTAATTAAGTCATCACTCCAATGGCTTGACACAGTCATCGGTGGTTGCATGGGCAAGTAGGGTTCAATTGTCACTCACAGCAAAAAAGAAGAACAGCGTCAGTCGGAGGCACTGTGAGACTCAACTGAAGTGCTGCTGCGGACTCTTGGATCATGAGCACTAGGTCTAGGTGAAAAAGGATCCAAGCTGGCTCTGGTGGAAGAAGCAGCCGCGGGACTCTGCACACTCAGAACCACTGCTGTCCACTTGGGAGCCTCTTTATCCTTTGTGCATCCTGCAAGGAGCCTCCACGGCCGAATCTATTTGGCTGCACGTACCTCAACTGACAAACCCAGATCTTGTTCACCACAATGTTGCGCTTGGAGGCAAAGCCCCGTAAGCCCCGTGCTGCAAAAAAGCACTCAACCAACTTGATCTCCCCTCCCCTGCCCCGTAAAGACCGATCCGCCCACCTGGATGCTTTGAGCTCAACCAAATCCTGAGACGAACAAAACGAACTCTGGAGGATGAGATCTTCAAAACCCCTCACCTGAAAAGGCAGGAGACGAAAGCCAGGGCAAGCAACCCACCGATTCGTCCAACTAGCCATCCAATCGACCTATCTACTCTACACACATCTATCCACGTCTACTTATCATCTTTTTACATCTAGCCACATCTACTTAACAATCTCTCTATCTCTCTATGTCTCTATCTCTTCATCAAATCTCTCCCTCTGTCTCGCTATCTCTCTTACACTCTCTCTCCCCTTCTATCCATCCATCCCTCCATCCGTCCGTCCGTCCGTCCCTCCGTCCCTCCATCCATCCCTCCGTCCAGCTGTCCAGCCATCCAGCCATCCAGTCATCCACCCATCCAGCCACCCACCCAAGTATAGTCAAAATGCAAATGATGCAAGGCCATCAAATTACGCATTATCGACATCACAAAGAACCCGCAATCATGTGGCTTTCGTGCTGGTCCTGAAACAACAATATTGCAGTCATCCTCACCTGTGCCTGTCTTGACCCAACTGAGTTTCTTCAATTGCCCCTATCTCATACTGAAAAATTGTGATTGGATGTCTCATCCGCTTGAGGCCGGCACCCGCAGACTGCAGCAAGGGCGCTGAACTGAGCATGGGCACGGTTGGGGAGCGGGATGGTCATCCCTGGAAGATGGTGAAAACCAATCGCCATGACCCTCCAAGTGGCCTAGGGAGCGAATGGACCAAACCCCTGACTCCGAGGCCCGCTTTGGACCAGTCCATCTCCGGTGACCCAGGAGGTGACGAACATTCGAGGAAGCCTTTGGTGACGAATGACAAACCACCATGCAGGATTTGCAAAAGTCAAAACTCAATCGCCGCCCTCCATCGTTCCACCTGGACAATGGCGTTCGTCTCAGCGTGGGAACCTCCTTCAGGGTCCTGGGTTCAGGTGCAACCTATGCAAACTGTTGCTGCCTAAGCAGGGAAATTCTGAAGTTCACGAACATGTACTATCATTCAATGTCATTACCTACAACTTGGGTTGATCTAGGAACTCGGAGGATTCGCAAAAAATCTCAGTGAGAAGTTGGTCCTCCAATCCTCCTCGATTCACACCAACAATACGAATCCGCGCCCGTTCCTGAAGAGCCTTGGGAAGTTTGGAGGTGGTCGCCCTTCGTCTGTTGCCAAACATTCCACACCTGCTGCTCCCCACGCAGAAAGCACCTTTCTTGCGCGTGAGCACTCCCCACCCAAGGCAAAATGCCACCCACAGGCTAAGCTGCAATGGTGCAAAGTCGAGTCCTACCAAAAAAACTTCACTGACAAGCCAGTCTTGCTTGGCAAAAAGTGTACTCAGAATATCTCAGAATCACTGTGTGTTCGTACTCACGGTCATCAAATAATCCGTGCATTCACCCAGTGTGCTCATGCTCCATACCATTTCATACCTCAATCACCACAAAGGTACCTGAAAGAGCGCCAACGTCTGGTTTCTTTTAGGCCTTTCTTGAATTCCCTGCTTTAATCAATTCAGAGCCTATGAATAAGTTGAGCTTGCAGTACCGTTCATGGCAGCAAAGTGGGAGGGCATGCATGGCTATCTGCCAACTTGGGCTGGGGAGGAACCTCTAGATGGGCTGGATCGGTCGTGACCGCCTGAGCCCCGGTGATGCTGGAGATGCTCAGGAGCAAAACACAGTCAAACAACAACTTCAGTAAGTGGTAAACTCTGAATGTTTAATGTTAATGTATCGGATGTAAAACTCTAGGTATTGACCAGCAAGGTAGAACTCTGAGCAAATCCAAGAGCAGCCACAGAGCCACATTTGGTGTCCCTGGCGCAGAAACTTTTGGTTTTTTGGCCGACTTCGGCGCTGGAAAACACTGGCTTTACTGAAGGATGTCCCTTGGCCTTGCTTTACGGAAGGATTGAGATCGGTTGATGTTCTGTGCTTTAAAAGGATGGGCACCAGAGCACTTCTCTTCACAAATGTAGGGGTCACAAGTCACAATCCGGATGTTCGGGACGAGAAAAAGGTACGTTGAAGCACGTCAATTATCTTAAAAGCGTCCCGGGTTTGCAGCGATTTGATCAAGGTGCATCAATCGATTCGATTCGAAAGGTACTGTTCCGTTCCGCAAAGCAACCGCAGTCGCAAGAGTTATGATACGAAAACAAGTTCTCACGCCACATTGGGCCAGCCACAGGAGAAGGAACACATCCCGATAAGAGAGGATGCCTTCATTGCACAACGACACTTATGATTTGTCTGCTTTGCACCTTTGCACGCTTCCTACGGAGATTCCATTCAATATGTCCTCCTCCTACTACAGTACCTGTTGCGACTTGGACATTGAACATTCATCATGCCCAGTCATTGAAACTCCAGAACTGGTCACAATGACCAAGTTCCCCACAAACGAAATCAAACGTACCTGGTGGTGATCAATTCAGGAATCTAGGAGTTAGCTCCGGCCTCGGCTAGGGCTGTAGGGCTCACTAGAGTCAGTTCCGGACAAAGTGCTGCTACACCGAGAAACGGTCCTTGGCAAGTGTGAGAGTGCTCAGCTGACATGTGACCGCCCACTCAAACATGAAGGCTCTTGAGGGGTTCTGGTTTGTTTCCACTACCCTGAACAAAATGAGCCGAACCACGCTTATCAGAATGGGTAGAAACTTGCAGATTTTCAGAGAGGTTGAGTTTTGGACTTCATGAGCCATTTTTCTGGTGCTTCCAAGCACACCATCACAAACAGTTTTACAGACTTCTTGCACACACTACAAAGCGAGCAAGGGTGTTTGTTTTGCCGCTGAGCAGAAGTCTGTCTGCGCTCTGCTCCGCAGCCTTTTCGCAGGAGGGCGGGCTGGGAGTGGCCAAAGCCTTTCCAGCCTAAAGCTACGCACTGCCCCCACTGGATCAGGCTCTGGATGTCTCCCCGCTGCAGAGGTCGCCCATCTTCCAACCTGAACAAAGGGAGCTGTTCTTCACCCCCTCAAAAGCGTTCTGGCTTCAGGTTCTGGTACTCGGCCAGGGCAGTGACCACACAGAGTGTGCGATGCCCGCTCTTGAACTGGTTCCGGGCCGTACCCTGGTTGAGTTGGTCCGTCTTGGATCCGTTCAGGTAGGTCACGATCTCCTCTGCGTGGTGTAGGTTGTTGACCTGCTTGTCGTTCTCCAGGCAGCCTTCGACGTCGCAGCCTCTCAACGTCCGGGTACTCCCCCACGATCTCCCCAGTGTCACCAGGTACTCGGAGGCCCTGAGCAGGAAGAAGAAACCCACCATGAGCGCCGCCCAGATGATCAACTGATCGGCTCGGCTGTAGGTCTGAC